TCTAGTTATGAAACCTTTCTGTGATGTTCAATCAAGCACTGTGTTTGGTGTGTATTCGTTTATATATTTATATACTCAAACAGTACGCTACACATCGTTCTTCGCTGCACGTCAGTCGATACTCCAGTTGTACAGTACTTTGCATACTTTGAGGTATTCTCGTAATAACCTTATAGTACTCACCTTCCTGGGAACAATCATAGCAACTGGTTCCACTATGCCAGCCACAGAATGCAGTTTATAAAACCTCATTATCTCGCATCTTGATACGTCTAAACCTCTTTTTGGCATCACGCCAAGTCCTCTTTGGGGTGACGAAGACTTGTATTCTGATAGATAATGAAAGTACGGTGCTTCTGGTACAATCTCGTAGTAACGTATATTGCCATCACCCTGGTAACCAAAAGTAAATATGTAAAGTAAAGTAAAAAATATTTAAACCAAACTTCAGCATTTTTTTTGAAATCTCATTTTTTGCACAATGACCTCGCCAAGGAGCTCAGTGACCTCGCCAAGGAGCTCAGTGACCTCACCAAGGAGCTCAGTGACCTCACCAAGCCAGCTTAACATGCTAAATACTATCATCAGCACAGCTGTATGGACCTTGTTCTGACCAATCAGCACAGCTGTATGTTTTTCTTTCATGACATGTGACCTAGTTTTGCCTAATCACCATGACTACGGTTTCACAATGAGGAAGAATAATTAAATTGATATTTACCTTTCCAGCAATGAATACAACTTTAGTATCTTGGTCATAATATGGTAATAAAGTCCCAGACCCAGAGTCTATATTTTCCATTCGCAGTGGTTTAGATAGATCACGCTACAAATCAGAAATAATAAATATTCAACAATGCACATTGATATTAAGATGCACACTTTGGTAATGTCAATTCCCACAAGTTTTTGCGGGTTTCCTTCTCACATTTTCTCAAGCGGATTTACTGCCATGCATTCCTTTGATTGGTCTAGCTGTTTCAGCCATCATTTGAATATTATAAAATATTTATAAATATTTTTTATAAAACAAATTCATGCCTTCATAAAAAGCAAAATATATCAATTTTCTTCAGCTCCCCCCAGATTTCAAATGAGTCATCCCTTAAAACATTAGGTAGTTCTGCTTAAGTTTCATTGACAATTACTTGTTCAATAACTATTGTTTTAAACACCATATTTTTATATCATTTTTTTCGATAATTTTTTTTTTTTTTAAATCACTGTTTTTTTTCAATCCAACATACACACATCTACCAAAATAATGAAACAGTGATAAAGAAAATATTAATCTCGCAGAATGAATCCATAATTGTCTTGTAAAACTAAACAAGCAGCCTGTCGGCTGAGATAGCTCCGCTGTTAGCAATGCACATTTCAATTAAGAACTGAAGATATCAATAGAAAATGAACAATATGTATAGTATTCAAAGCAATCGGACTTGCTGTTTCCAACAAAAATTCGAAAATGTCACTTTTGACTGAAAATGACAAAAATATTCATTAAAATTAGAGAATTGAAGATATCATCACGAAATTAACAAATCTGAGAGAGGTCTACCTAAGGTACCTTTATGTATAGCATCAAAGCAATCAGATTTGTGGTTTTTAACAAGGACAAAGCAAATACAATATCTAATGCCACTGTTTTCATGATGCAGATGGACTATGTTTGAAAAATAAAATCGTGAAAAGAAAAATAAAATAAAAATACTCACAACATTCCATACGCCGAACTGCCTTTCACACATTCTGGAAAACCCACATGTTGCAAGGCGATCGGTATCCCCTAGAAACGTCACTTTGGAGGACTTTGTCCCCTGGTGACCTGGAGTTTCACTCAGCAGTTCTCCCGTTCTCGGATCAATAAGTCGTAATTTCTTATCTTTGCATGTTGTAGCGAGCAGACTGCCATCTCTGTTAAATGATAGGTTGTATATAGTGTCTGTATGACATTGGATATATGTGACGGCTTCTCCTGTTTCCACATTCCATATAATTGCCTGTAAAATACAATATGACACTGATAAAAAAAAGACATCAATGACAGCGCCCTCTAGGGGCAAGAAATAAGCAGTGACAGAGCCCTCTAGAGTTAAGTAAACAGCAGTGACAGCGCCCCCTGGCGATCAAAAATGATTAATGACAGCCTCCTCTTGGGGATCAGAAATCATCAGTGAAAGCGCCCTCTCTGGATCAGAAATCAGTAACAGTGCCCACGTGAAGATCAGAAATCAT